ATTGGTGGACTTTCCCCCAGCGTGCACGTCATGCAACATTATATAAACGGGTACGCTGAAGACCTTAAGCTATCGAGGGATCGGTCTTTCTCCAGCCTTTTATTATTCGCATCTACTAAAAATAGTGGGTGGGTACGATTTGACCAGTAATTCCTTAAATAACCAGAAGCAAATTACAAGTATTAGCATTATTTTCCAAAAATGCTTGGAACCGCCGTTCAGCCATGAATATAGAAATAATATTTCATTTATTGGCTTATACTTTATTGCATGTGGTCAACACATAAAGCCAACAAAAACACTTGCTTTACTCTACCATTCCGTTCTTGTCAAAATATTTTGACGCGCTAAGTTAGATTCTGCTGGGTCAGTATGTAGGAGATACTCAGTATTGCCCATGAGAAAAATATCACAAGAACCTGACTCGTATAGTACAATTAGTTAGATTACATGCGCTACTTAAAAAGTGCATCAATCGGCAATAAGAATTAGCTTCTTGTGTAATTAACAACAGTTACTTGCTACACATAAAAATTGATGTCTGTGAACATTCTGTAAATGGAATTTACGTTATATACTCTGTGAACTGCTTTGCGAAGTTTTATTTTCTTAAACAGACTATTACTGATTACACTCATAGTATCAAACTCGCCCGGAAGAAAGCATTATTTTATAAAGATCTTTTCTTTAAGTGCAAGTTTTGGAAAGACAAAAAATATACTCTTTTTTTAGACTACATTCTCTTATCTGACATGACATGTAGAAAAAAGTATTGCAATTATCTGTGTTTATCCTGCAAAAGCCTAAAGACTTATATAGTGCTCATGATATTTTTCAGTAGTACAAATAGGTAACCCGACAAACATGGTGGTTGGATGAGTCCATTTTCGCATCCCTTGTTGAAGTTTTTTTTTGATGTCCATTTTATTATGCAGTATAACATTATTTGGTTTGATTTGCTAAAGTCAATCGGTGTACAGGTAGAACTGTTTAAATCTTGTTAATTGTATATATCGCCGTCCAGGAACGCCGATAATCATATTTCTTGTGAATTATGTTAATATGTTACTTTGACTGCACCAAAGAAGCTATAATTAAAACAGAAACACAAAATAGCGGAAAATAATTGATAGAACAAATAAGTACGAATTACAACATTACATTTTAAAACTATTTATTGTAGCGCCTCCCATATTATATGTCTTACTGCTTAATTACGAACAAATATTTCTTCAGATATAATATGAATTCATTAAAGCAATACTCCCATAAATAAATTACAATAGTGAAATAACAAAATAAGTAATAAATATTTCTCTGTTTAAGCAAAGACAAGAGTATCATGACAAGAACCCAAAAGTTAAGAATTATTTTGTTAATTTATGTATAAAAAAGCAAAACAAAAACAAAAACAATCTGTTTTCTCAAATGAAGTTAAATATTTTCGTATAAAACGCTTTAAATGATATATTTCGTGCAAAATCTCACTTGAAATACAAAAGTGGAAATAAATATGAGCCAACGTTAATATTCTAGAATATTTAGGATTTGGCGGCCATCTTTGACGTCATCTTGGATTTTCAATGTTAATTGAATTGAGATTTAACAGGGGAGAATTATCTTTTTATAAAAAAAAAAAAAAAAAAAAAAAAAAAAAAAAAGAAAGAAATGTGCACGACATACCGTATATGATTTAATATATATTCAATCAACATTTTCATAACTACAATTGTTTGCTTTTCATTAAGAGAGGTAGAATTTGTTTGCAGCAGCATTAAGGGTTTATTCTATGGAGAATTTAACTTACAAATACGTGATACAGTTGAGAATATAGACGACCATCAGTCTAATTTTTAGAATTAAGTGCGTTTAATTTAGATAAACTTTAAACATATAAATTAAATAACTTCGATACGGAATAACTTTGATACTATAGAATTGGTATTATTAACCGTAAGAACTCCAACAAAGTATTGTATATGAGATGTAGGGAAAATGTTAAGCATTTGATAAATCAAGGACATTGACAATTGATAAAATAAAATATGATCAATACTAACGTATTCGCAGTAGCTTTTGCGTATATTTCTGTCGACCATGTCGAGTCCGCATATATAATAAACGTATGTCCGCTTTCCAAGGTAGGTTCTACAAATTTTGGGACCGCTATATTTTGAAACACTTGCACAGTAAACTATAAAGATAAAGATTGTTTGTAATTTTGTTAACATTAACAGCATTAAACTGCAAGATTTAATTACAAATATTGTCTATAAAATACGGTTCATATACATGCTATTGTCTACGATATACTATATAAATATTAAAACAAGAAACCGAATATCGTTTGATATTAATTATAATCTATTTAACTGGATATCAATAATAAGAATAATAACAAGAGGGCCATGATGGCCCTGGATCGCTCACCTGACACAACCGCATCCAAGCAATGTCTTAAACAAGCATCATGGCCAAGTTTGATGACAACTGAGTCAAACATGTGACCTCAAGTGTGTCATAAAGATTTTTACATATTTGGGCAATGTGATCTAATTTTTGACCGGACACGACCCATATTTAAACTTGACATAGAAATCATCAAAACAACCTTCCTGACCAATTTCCAGGAAATTTGGATCAAAACTGCAGCCATTAGAGTGTTAAAAAGATTTTTCTATTTTTAGCTCCTGTGACCTAGTTTTTGACCGGACATGACCAATCTTAGCACTTGACCCAGAAATCATCAAAACAACCTTCCTGAAAAATTTCCAGAATATTTGAATTAAAACTGCAGCCACTAGAGTGTAAACAAGCTTTTTCTATTTTTAGTTCCTGTGACCGAGTTTTTGACCTAAGATGACCCATCTTCGAACTTGACCCAGAAATCATCAAAACAACCTTCAGGTTCCTGACAAATTTCCAGAATATTTGACTCAATACTGCAGCCACTAGAGTGTTAACAAGCTTTTTCTATTTTTAACTCCTGTGACCTAGTTTTTGACCGGAGATAACCCATCTTTGAACATGACCTAGAAATCATCAAAACAACCTTGACAAATTTCCAGAATATTTAGATGAAAACTGCAGCCACTAGAGTGTTAACAAGCTTTTTCTATTTTTAGCTCCTGTGACCTAGTTTTTGACCGGAGATGACACATCTTCGAACTTGACCTAGAAATCATCGAAACAACTTTCCTGACAAATTTCCAGAATATTTGGATGAAAACTGCAGCCACTAGAGTGTTAACAAGCTTTTTCTTTTTTTAGCTCCTGTGACCTAGTTTTTGACCATAGATGATCCATCTTCGAACTTGACCTAGAAATCATCAAAACAACTTTCCTGACAAATTTCCAGAATATTTGGATGAAAACTGTAGCCACCAGAGTGTTAACAAGCTTTTTCTATTTTTAGCTCCTGTGACTTAGTTTTTGACCGGAGATGACCCATCTTCGAACTTGACCTAGATATCATCAAAACAACCTTCCTGACAAATTTCCAGAATATTTGGATGAAAACTGCAGCCACTAGAGTGTTAACAAGCTTTTTCTATTTTAGCTCCTGTGACCTAGTTTTTGACCCGAGATGACCCATCTTCGAACATGACCCAGATATTATTAAAACAACCTTCCTAACAAATTTCCAGAATATTTGGATGAAAACTGCAGCCTCTAGAGTGTTAACAAGCTTTTTCTATTTTTAGCGCCTGTGACCTAGTTTTTGACCCGAGATAACCCATTTTCGAACTCGATCTGTATTTCATTGAGACAAACATTCTGACAAAGTTTGACGATGATCCAATCAAAACTGTGACTGCTAGACTGTATACAACCCAATTGTTAGTGTTAACAAGCTTTTTCTATTTTTAGCTCCTGTGACCTAGTTTTTGACCGGTGATGACCCATCTTCGAACTTGACCTAGATATCATCAAAACAACCTTCCTGACCAATTTCCAGAATATTTGATGAAAACTGCAGCCTCTAGAGTGTTAAACAAGCTTTTCTATTTTTAGCTCCTGTGACCTAGTTTTTGACCCGAGATAATCCATCTTCGAACTCGATCTGTATTTCATTGAGACAAACATTCTGACAAAGTTTGATGATGATCCAATCAAAACTGTGACTGCTACACTGTTAACAACCCAATTGTTGACGACGAACGACGCACAACGCACGACGCACGACGACAGACGCCGGACATAGCCCCATCACTATACCTCACCATGACCACTTCGTGGTCAGGTGAGCTAAAAATAAATTCACTAGGAAATATACCTGAACAGGGGTTGTACTTAGTGAATATTTTCCAGGATAAAATCCACCTGTACCGTAACGTATATTCCTTCTGTTGTAATCTCGGACACTGACTGCCACTGCAATAAAACTGTTGTCGGTGTATCCTGCAGCTTGTGATGCGTTGATAGTAATTGTGCAGTTCTTCATCATAAAATTATTAAATGAACGTTAAATCACTTTTGAATTATATATTTAAAATATGTGCATATAAGCTATATTTTTCATGGGATGGCTGCAATGTCAAGCCCTTACACATACCTATCGATGTCGACACACTTACGGTTGTTTGTTCATAGTATAAAGAAATTAACAATTAACAGTATAAAACATATGCGGATGTTTCTAAATTCAAAATTTCACAATTTTTCGTTTTTTTCTTACGCCGGTGCCAGGGGCATGGAAGGTAAGCTGCACTTTCCAGTACCGTCCATGAACAGGCTCAATGAAACCGAGCCTGCAATATTTTCAGTTTTGTCGTTTGGGCTTTCTTTAGGAATTCTGTTTTTCTCTATTTGATAACCTATTAATTAGGAATATAACACCTATTTTGTCCAATCACTTTTTAAACTGAAGTCAATTGTATCACCTATTTTGTTATTTTAGTTTGTCTTTTTTCAAATGTCCTTGTAAATGGTGTACACACAGCGAAAGTACTGAATGCACTGCACAATTTAAATAAAAAATAACAATTTGTAAAAGTATATTAACCAACCTCATAAACAATTACGTTTGTTGGCGGGTGGAAAGATATTATTCCAGCTTCTATATACCTTGCTAGCTCACATATAATAAAATCTCCCTCGGCATCTACTACTTGGATGTAAATAGTTGATACCCTGTCTAGTGCTATCCTGTCAGTATTGTAAAATAAAATAAAATATAACATAATTGATTAAGAATTGATTGAAATTACAAGTTTTGAATAATTTTTACAGATGTTACTTTAATCAGCAGTATCTAAAGGTTTACATGCAATCAAAGTTTATAATATGGATATTAACTAATTCATCAGATATTTCGCATAAATATCCATGTCTAAGTTTATTATAACATTTTAATAAATTGTTGCATACAAATATCAGGCTGAATATATACCGAAAAATACAATTTTATTTAGGACTGCTTTTCCAAGTAAATGTTTATTTTGGAAATGTATATCGCATCAAGACGATCTGTCGCATACAAGAACCACGTCCCTACCTCAAAAGTCAACATTTTGAAGTTTCACATTACAACAAATAGAGTTAATAGGTACACACATTCGTGTCCGGACTGTAACTTTGTAATGCATTGAAGGATTTCAAGATAACTAGGCATAAATGTCTACCACATGAAGACGATGTGTCGCGTCCAAGAATTACGTCCCTCCCTCAAAGGTCAAGGTCTCACTACCATTCACTTCATCACACTTTTTTGTTAGGATTTTACTATAACTTGGAATAAATGTCTACCACAGTATATCCAAGAATCACGTTCCTACCTCAAAGGACAAGGTCACACTAACATTTTGAAGCTTCCCTTTATCACAATAAGAGTTCATAGGTATACACATTTGTGTCCGGAGTGTAACTATGTCATGCATCGAAGGATTTTAGAACAAGATTTTGTAACAGAGTTACCAACGTCCCCCGCCTCGGGAAAATTTTATATGAAGCATACAATTGTGCTATATGGATCTAAGGATTTTCAGTTCAAAATTATGATCAATGCTAGATCTGAAAATGCAACAATAAATGTATTAAAGAAATAAAATGAATGTTAAGCTTTGACATCTTAGTGTGATCTTGACCTGGGAGGTAGGGTCCAGGTGTTGTACATGACATATCGTCTTATTATTGTTACTATTTTCAAAATCCCTTGAACTATGAAGAAGTTATAGATGGGACACAAAATATACCCTCTAACAGACTATGTTAATCTTTGACCTCTTTAGGTGACCTTGAAGGTATGGACCTATGATTTAGACCTGACATATCGTCTTATTATTTGATTATTTGTGCAAAGTATTTTTAAAATCCCTTGATCTATGAAAAAGTTATGGACTGGACACATAATATACCCTATAACAGACTATGTAAATCTTTGACCTCTACATGTGACCTTGACTTTGGAGGTAGGGACACTGGTGTTACACATGACATATCATCTTATAATTGTGATTATTTATTCCAAGTATTTTCAAAATCCCTTGATCTATGAAGAAGTTATGGACAGGACACAAAGTATACCATATAACAGACTCTGTTAACTTTTGATCTCTATGTTTGACCTTGACTTTGGAGGTAGGGGAGCAGGTGTTGTACTTGATATATTTTCTTATTATTGTGACTATTTGTGCCAAGTTATTTCAAAATCCCTTGAACTATGAGGAAGTTCTAGATCGGACACAATATATACCCTTTAACAGACAATGTTAATTTTGACCTCAAATGTGACCTTGACCTTGGATGTAGGGATGTAGGTTTTGCATGACACATCGTCTTATTATAGTGACTATTTTTGCCAAGTATTTTCAAAATCCTTTGATATATGAAAAAGTTATGGACCGAACACAAAATATAACAGACTATATCAATTTTGGACCTCCAAATGTGACCTTGACCTTGAAGGTAGGTGACCTGTTGTTACACATGACACATTATCTTATTATTGTGAACAATTGTGGCAAGTATTTACAAAATCCCTTCAAAGGTAAGAAAGTTATAGACCGGACACGACATATACCCTCAAATAGACAATGTTGACCTTATATGAGCAAGTGCGACCTTGACCTTGGAGGTAGGGGTCAGATTGTTGCGCATGACACATTGCCTTATTATAACAAACATTTGTGCCAAGTTATTTCAAATTCCTTTGATAAATGACAAAGTTATGGACCGGACACGAAAGTGTGACGGACGGACGGACATACGGATGGACAGACGGACGGACAGACGGACGGAGCCTATTTCTATATCCCCCTTTTTTCTTCCAAAAGGCGGGGACAATAACTTGGCATAAATGTCTACCGCATAAAGACGATGTGTCGCGTCCAAGAATCCTGTACCTACCTCAAAGGTCGAGGCCACAATACCATTTTGAAGTTCACTTTATCACACTAAGAGTTTAATGATGTTCTATTTTTGATCTTTGAAGATCGTTCAAGAAGACATTCGTGTTGTGTATACATTTTAGATGGTATTTTTAGTTTCTTGTATTTGGCCTGTTTCAACTTTGGTGGTTCCAGTATTCCTACTTGAATACTGTATAATCACCCTTAGAATATGATGCCTGCTTTTGAAATTTGTCTTTTGACGTCTTGTCTGTGATATGCGGGCTTCATAACCTCAGATCCCCTTCTAAAATTCCACTTTATTTAGTTCCGCCCATTGTTTTCTCGTTTAGGGCACACGCATTCTTTTACTTGGGGACCTTACGTCGCTTTTCATGGAATGACACTACTGTGTCACATTGAAGGTTCCGTAATAACCGCCGTGTGAACACATCTGCGAATGTTTCTAAATTCAAAATTTCACCATTTTTGTGTTTAAATGAATGTTAAATTCTGCTTAAGCCGGTGCTAGGGGGCGTGGACGGTAACTTGCACTTTCCAGTACCTCCATGAACAGGCTCAATCAATCCGAGCCTGCAACATTTTACAATTTTGCCGTGTTGTGCTTGATTTACGGAATTTTGATATTCTCTTTTTAATAGATACACACTTTCGTGTCCGGTCTGTAACTTTGTCATGCATTGAATATGATAAACAAGATCAACAAGGAAAGGCAGCGTTCAAAATTGAAGAATTTTATGATATCTTTGCATAAATGTCAACCACACTAAGACGACATGTCGTGTTCTAGTCCCCTGTCCCTACCTTCAAGGTCAAGGTCACACTTATAGTTTGAAGGTATTCCTTCTCTCTAGAAGAGTTTGATGATGATGTGTTGTGTGTGAGACCCAAGCTCCAACCTCAATGGGCAAGGCCACACAAATAGTTTGAAGGTATTTATGCTCATAAGAAGAGTTTGAGGGAACACATTAGTTTCCAAACTGTAACATTGTCATGCATTGAGGATTTTAAAATAACTTGACATACATGTCTACCACATCAAGATGTTGTATCGCATCCAATATAATATGATAAACAAGATCAACAAGGAAAGGCGGCGCTCAATGAACGCAACCCTCACCCGGCCCAGCAACAAGAGCCAGTGGCATGGAGCCCAGGAGGACCCCAAACAAAAACAGGACAGGACATGAGAAGGCTTACCACTAAAATCATAAATAATTAGTAACTGATAAGGAACTAAAAACAAATGAATGATTGAATAATAGGCTCATAAAGTCAAAGGCACAGGGTAAGGGGGAACTTAGTAAAATATTTACGCAATTTATGACAGCGATAACCTTGTTTAAATCATACATAAGAAAAAATAATTAGTAACTGATAAGGAACTAAAAGAAAACAAATAAATGATTGAAAAATAGGCCCATAAAGTCAAAGGGCACAGGGGAAGGGGACAGGAGACCCGGGGAAGGGGAGGGGGAGAGAATAATCCAGAGAATAGACCGTTGTCCCAATGTATTAAGTTTGCTATAAATACCCTTTCATTTCACAAGAACAATATTAAGCAGTTAGTTACTTTCATTCTCTTTTCTTTTCATAATACTTGCATGCTTAAGAAACCTTTTCGGGGATATTCGTCACTTGCACGACAGCTCTTGTTGAACTTTTATTTTTCTAAGCTCTAGTTTTTAGAGATTCGTTTGAAAATGATGCTTCCGTTGGGAGAAAATAACCTTATTGGCGACGCCGGTGAGCGGCGTCGTCTATTATGGAACGCTTTTTATTTTTGCCTATGGAAGGAGCTGTTATTATTAGCAGTTAATTTCATGTTGTGTAAATTAGTTTTATTTTGATTCGTAAAAATCAAGTAAACAAATGTGTTGTTATATTTGTATTTAATAACTTTATGTAAAAAGCATGTGCATTGTGATATTATTTTCACGAAATTGCGGGTTAAGTTTAACAGCTTGTCCCTTAGTTTTAATGACAATACTAAAACCCGGATTTCGAATATCGTTGTGGTCTAGATTGAGGCCGTATCATTTATACATTTTCAAAATTTTCCTACAAGAAGAAAGTTCACCTGCAATTGAGTATAAGGATAGGTAATGAAACTGTTGTAAACGATTATCCTATTGATTTTATCCTTATTACATTTATCTGTTGCGCAGAATGGTTGTTTTTACAAAGTGTACCAGTATCCGGATGTTGAAAGCTATCCGATTTTCTGCAATTACTGCTGACACATGGCCATCTATTTTTTTATGAATACTTTACCATTAATTTGCATGGCTTGATAAAATTGAACCTGCAACATTTCATAATTTTGCTGTTTATCGTGTTCTTTTGGGTTTCAGGTTTTCTTTATTTTAAGGGGAAGTAACTTATGTTTACTAAATTATTTGTTCTTTTCTGTCTATCTTAGGTATTACTTATAATACTATTTTTGTTGTATATAATTCACCAGTTGTAAGGTCATCAAAAGCATGTTAATGTTAGGATTTCATATTTATTTAATATAAACTGGGAATTATTAATGTTATGTGCATGTACATGTATATCTTAGACAGTAGTATATTGGTATGTTGAGACTTATAATTTTTCTGCATTTAAAGAGATACAGTTATGTCATTATTATTAAAGGGATGAGACTTTCATTTAAAGTTATAAATGATAAAACATGTATTGATTGAAAATGTCCTTAAACTTGGATCAAGCAATATAATTAATAAAGTCTCAAAAAATCATATTCTGAATAGTTATTCTATTTTTTTCTAACATGTGCATAGTTTGAAAAGGACAGCTTCTGTCTTATCTATATGTAATGAAGAGACACCGGTCTCAACCTCCAGGTCTCCTGAGTCAACGCGACAACAGACTGTACATAGAGTAGATTGTTACTTGCCCTTGAATAAATTTGTGCACTAAATTTATAGTGGGTGATTTGTGCCACATGAAAACCAACATAGTACAAAAAGTAACTGGGCGCCAGATGAAAACATGAAAATACAATCTACCACAAAGTGGTTTGTTTGTTGCATTTTCATGTTTTTGCCCGGTGCCCTTGATGCAAAATACAAATCAGCCTTCATAAAATTTCTTCTTATGTTGGTCACAGGTTAATGAGTTCTGGTCAAGCTCAAAGTTTTTCTCATCCTATGACTGCATATAAGCATGAGTTCAATTTCCTATGCTCTGTAACATAAGAAATTCACGAACACAAATCGATATAGTGGGGAAATATGTTGTGGTTTAGAACTGTTTCATTATTAAAGAGAAAATGTGTAGCAGGACGGATAGCTCAGTTGGTCTTCTGAAAGTCATGGGTTTGAGTCATGGTCAGGCAGTTTCAGTCAGGGTTTAGAAGTGGTTTTTCAATTGACACATGTTTGATTCATTTAACAGATTGCATTATTTGAAATGGACAAAGGCAATATTGCATGATACTTTTAGATCTACAAAGGGCATTTGATACAGTTGAACACACTATCCTGCACATGAAGAAGTTGTTTTTCTTTTTCTTCATGAAACTTCAAGCATCTGCCATATATAATGACATTCTTACATGGTTTAAGTCTTATCTCTGATAGTAGCTGGTTGATGTGGCTGGTACTTATTCTACTACTGCTCTGAGTACCTATGCTGTCCCCCTGATGTTCATTTTAGGTCCTCTTTTATGTCTAATATATGTCAATTACATGTCTTCAACCCTAAGCAATAAGCTTTTATTATAATGCACAGGCACGAGTATCAGACCTTGGATAAAAAAATATGGCCAGATTGATAAAAAAACCTGTGTTCATCTTAAAAGTGTCAACAACCAAAATAAAATGTAAATAATGACCCCCTTTAAAAATATACTTCAAGTTGAAAGTATATTTTTAAAGGGGATCATTATTTACATTTTTTGTTTTGGTTTTTATAAACACAGTTTTTTTTTTATCAATCTGGTCATCTGGTCATATTTTTTCTTCCCAGGTCCGATACTCGTGCCAGTGATTATATGCTGATGACTCAGGAATCCTTGTGTCTCATAAATTAAATCTGAAGAAATTCTTTCTTATAACATGAGTCTTATAAGATTGCTTAATTGACTATAAATTGCCTTTGCATCTTGGCAAGACAGAGTCTATTCTTTTTTGGTTTAAGTTTCAACTTAACCTGGCCCTAGCCTCCAGGTCACATGTAATGGTACTGCTATAAAGTACACATCTTTTGTTAAGTATTTAGGTGCAAATCTGGATCAAATTCTTTTGGCGTCGCCCTTTGATGCTTTGCATCAATGCTTTTCTTGTTGTTTTATGTAAGATATAATTTTATTTCGTCTCGTGAGTGTTGTGTTACGAACGTTTTTTTTTCAGTCCTGGCCTCTCCATTTAACTTTTTAATATAACAGCCTTTTTATTGGTTGTTTTCTAAGATTTAAAATTTATAACTTCACCATTTTGAATAAATTGAGGGTTTTTACGTCCTTTCAATTACAGTTATGCCAGACACGTGTAGAGATACCAAGTTTTCAATATTGGAACTTCCGGTGTTTCATAATGGGTTTAACTGTACCTTAATTTATTATTGTACTTCCTTCGCTCATTCTTTAGAGTGGTTGATGTAGTATTTTGAACTATTTTTAGCTCACCTGTCACAAAGTGACATGGTGAGCTTTTGTGATCGCTTTTCGTCCGGCGTCCGTCCGTCCGTCGTCCGTCCGTCCGTAAACTTTTACTTTAAACGACATCTCCTCATAAACCAATAGGCCAATTTCATACTAGTTTCATGATTCAACGCAGTGTTTTCAACTTAATCAGTACAGAACCCTGGTCAGCAAAGGAAATCAAAGACGTAAAACTAATGATAAAAAGACACCAAAAGCATATTGCAAACTCTTCCGAAAAATTAGAAACATTCTAGTTTTACCTGTAAATGGGTCTACTTAGAGATCTTGGGCTGCTGTTTGTTCTGTTCGTATCACTTCGAATAAAAGATGATATCTTGGTTTGGAAATGCCAACTTAGGTTACTTGTAGATGATTGAAATGAGATATGACGCCAAGAATGCCCTTTAAAACTGAAAAAGCCGTTGTATTACGATATTATGTGGATTTTAGCATGTTTAAATCAATATAAAACATATCATTGTTATTCCAAAAAATATTTTATTTAAATTTAGGTAAACAACAATTCATTTACGTGTACGTTATTTTAACGTAGTATACATTATAATTATGATTATTTCATTAACACAATTATTTAAGTTAGTCCAAAATAAGACGAAAATAAATCTCATTGGACTTATGAAAACTATATAATGTTGTTGTTTTTTTTATTCTTTTTTATTTACTTTAAGAACTGATAAATTATCTTCTGAGTAAACTAAAGATGGTAAAGTGATAAATATATTCGACTTATGCGCTTAGTCCGGTTTTAAATTTATTTTGCTATTTTATCTAGAATGGCTATAAAATACATTATGTAAAGCTTCTTCATAAATATCTTTTTAAAAGAATGCACTGAATCTCGTCACTGAACAAAGAAAAAACCAAGCAGACATTCTTACAAAAATGAGGTGATTCTATAAAAATCACATCTTTTCGGCCTTTTTATGGTGTTAAAAGAAAAGATATCAAAGTAAAGTGTACCTGATTTATTAGTTGAACCGAAAATATTAATAGCGTGGCTGGTTTGATTTAAAATTGCATGGTAAGAGGTTCAAGTATAATTGATTCCGATTTGTGGACATCATTTTCAATCATTATACATTACATGTAATATCGAAATACATTTTATTTTCCCTTTGGTGCACTATTAATACCATTAGCAGGGTCTGTTTGCATCACACTCACATGGTAGAACTATTCTTAAACAGTAACTTTTCGGGAATTTTTATTGGCAATCGACGGGAATTGCAAAGGATTTTATTGTAGACATTATTCTCAGTATGTTTATGTAATGGCGGAAACATTGCACATATATGACAATAATGATTATTTAATTGAGCAATGCTGACGACTTACAAATATTATCTGATTCACTATTTTCAGTTTCATTTTTAATTTAAAGTAAGGAAAGTAAAAATTTCAGAAATAAACCTGATATCTATTTCTCGTTTATCCTTCTCCATAAGAACGCCGAAATGCATTTTTTCCTGCTCCCATTGTGTATACTCATCAACGTCAATAACTGTTTCATTGTATGTTTTGTTCACAGTCGCATCTATATCTCTTGTTTCTAACCGATGATCTGCCCTCTTATACTCTAATATAAAGTGGCCGAGGTATCCTGGATCTAATGATGAGATCATTTGTCGTGTTGAGCGTGTTGATCTACCAATGTCAGTTCTGCTACATGCTGCTCCGCATGGCCCTTTCCCGAGTACCCATCCAGTTATAAGTTCAATGATGACCTAATTAATGAAATACATACAAAAGATATTTTAACAATCTCTACGTAAAACGCTATAATGTCTAAAAAAAATAATAAAAGTTTATTGTGGTTACAATAAGACCATAAAATGGTAAATGTTCATATTAATTGTTTGTTTGTTGTTTTGATTTACCGAAACCGTTAAATAAATGTAAGATTACCAAGGAGCTACCATCTGCTTGTTGTTCTTGTCTATGACTCATTGATCCACCATAGAATTGTCCTTCACGTGCGTATGCATGTTGACACACAATAATAGATAGGAGAACAATTATCCAAACTCGTCGCCCGGATTTTACCATAATCAAATCCTGCAGAAATTCATAAATAAAATGATCATGTGGTGTAAAGTTATGTTCCAAATGTAGTTTTCAAAATTATGACTCAATGGAATCACAAATGTATGATCGTTTTTTTAAAGGCACATTAAGCCACAAAACACATACATTCATCTTCTATAGAGAAGACAATTCTCACGGTGCTTAATCGTTTCGGGCTAATTTGGAATATTTCCTGTTCCTAAACTGATTTGGATTTATTTCACCGGATTAATTAAGATAAATTGGATTTTGAGCTTGACAAGGTAAGAAAATATAATAAAAACATATTTACAGCTGTTAGTCTTCGAATATCCTACTTGCTCGGAACATTGCAATGTTTAAGGAATTCATATAAACCTTTATAAGGTTTGTTTACGGTTTTTAATTCAGTTGGAATCGAAAAACAACTTTCTTATGTCAGTGAAGTAGTAGTGCACATTAGCAAAAATTGCCAAAAAGTCAATATTATCTTTGATTTTTCAGGAATTTCATGATCATATAATAGAATAAATCATTCCTCGATATTTAAGTGGTTTTAGTTAAATGATTTGTCCGGTAATGAAGTTGTAGGAAACCTCGTTATTTAATTGATTCATATAAAGGAAAAGCAAGGCAAAGGGCTGATTGTAGGCTTACGTCCTACAACTTCATTACCGGACAAATCATTTGAATAAAACCACTAAATTATCGACGTACTTTATCGTTTTATTCTCCCCCACCCTCTTTTTCTTCTGCATCCATTTTTATCCCTTTTATTTTATTCTCGTATCGGACCTTATTGTTTTCTTTGTTGTCTTAAACACATAATTCTAAAATATACTTGCATGACTCATTTTTCTATCATTGTGCCCTCTCGAAGTCCTTGGCACCCAGCCGGTCTATTTGGGTGGTGTCAGGGAATGTTATCTATGACCATTCAAACGTGTTATAGACACCTTGCCGGACAAAGCACGGTAAGTTATTCACTCCTAGCATACGTTAACAAAGAGTATGGAAATATCGGTGAATCATTAGTTAAATTTATTTGACACTTTTGTTACATCTATATCAAGTAATTTATGTGATATATGGAACTTAGTAATGAGGAATGTTTTCGCAGAAAATTCCTTTATAGAACGTTTAATGTAAATATGTCAACTTGTAATGCTGCTGTGTATATTGAAACAGGCCAATACCAATTGTTTGTAAACTGGAAAATGTGTATTGTTAAATAGTGGTTTAATATAGTAAAAAGTGAAAATTATATTCTATTGAATATTTTATTGAAATTGTTGTTTGATTGTAAAAATGGTGAAAAGAATTGATTATATGATTTAAAAATGTTACTGACTCAGAAATGGCTAGCGGAGGTTAACTTGTTTTCAGCACGCACTTAAAAATTGACTGGTTGACAGTTTTATAAAGGAATGCAGAAGTCAAATGGAAATGGATAAAAGCCAAAGTTTATTTTTGTTAAGTGACCGAGAAAGGGCATAGAGTTAAATGTGTATCTATATCTATGTATCTTTATATGCATTAAATACGTTCACAATATGACAACAATTGATGCTTGAAGCTTGCTTCTATAAAGCTGTGATCGTTATGACATATTCCACAACATGTTAAATGTTCTAGACACTTCACATTATATAAAAATTGTATCTGAACTCGATATCATTGCTTTTGCCAATAGTATGACGATTTGTTGGTTGGCTATCGACCTCTTACATCGATCTTTCTGTTAAGGAAATACCTCGTACTCCGTCAATATCTGATACACAGTTTGTATGTGAATGCATGTATCAATCAATCCATGAACACTTGTTTGTATATGTCTTAATGCTGAACAACGCTTTCGACAAAATAAATTTATGTTCTGTTATTCTGAAAATTTGTACTAACCTTGTTTTGCCGTTTTGTAAAGACCTTGTAGAAGATGATAAACTATAATCACAATTTTTTCTCCATCAATGATGTGTTTTTATTAACTTTTATTCTAATCAGATATCTACACAATATCATTAACTTATACCATTATACCTATACTATGTCTGAGTTAAAGTTATTATGTAGTCATCGCACTAATGCCTGTCTTATCAGATGATTGTTTACATATGGGGATTATTCAATCCAAAAAAAGACGTTGTTGTCAAGTTTTCAAATCATTTTTGGTATCACATTTTAAAAGATCTAGACGCAAAAGGATCGTTTAAGATATACAGCCAATATACATTTGACAAGTAATAAAAAATAAACAAAATGACAGTTTCATATCTAACCGTGTTTTTAAGTTCACGGTGTGCAAATAATATAAAACTGATCTATATTTAGAGGGTAATATTTGGTATCTGTTCGGCATTATGCGATAACGAACTGAAGATGACTATACTTAGGCCTTAAGGCCATTATGGACATTTTCGGACAATTATCGCATAATGGCGAGCAGAAACCATACAATAACTTTTAAATACAGATCAGTACCTATGCCGGGTCTGCAATGAAATACAGCGTTAGAAATCGTCGCTAACATTGGTTTACATCCTTTCTAAGAAACGTCTCCCCTTTTGCAGGTAGTTTGGCGTCCATTTTGTTATCATGTTGTATTTTGCGTTTTAATTTGCTTAAGGCTGGTGGTGTTCGGGTAGAAATAGTTGAATCTCGTGAATTGTATCTGTCACAGAGCGCCTTGAAAAACGAAATATCTGTCATTCAAGTAAACAAACCGTGTATGGTCTTCATTGGTACGAATACAGTTATGTGCTATTTTTTCTTGTAAAGTTGTGTGCTTGAACGGATCTGTCAATATTTGGATAAAGTGTGTCACAAACCAACCAACTAGCTCTAGAAGTCCCCTCCCCCGGATATAGATACGAGGGCTGTTCAATATATAATAAGACTGTCCTCATATATTTTCATTCTAACATGAAATATAACAAAATGTGGTATCATTATTAAATATAACTTTTTCAAGGCCAGATTACCGGCATTGGTAGAAAAAAATATAACGCGACATAGAAATTATAATACTTTCAATATTCATAGTAACGCGTTATCGCCCCGCCTGTTGTTTCTTACAACGACGTAACTTATAATATAAAGTAAACTAAGAAACAATTTTTGCAATAACGTAATATTTTGTACGTTATATCAGTGACGTCATGTGAAAAACTTACGTCATTTGGTCGTAAAACGTTTATGTTATCAACAGTTGTTCACGGTTACCTTGACATGAGGTCATGTTAAGATTATGACGCAAGAACGTCTTGAAGTGCGGGCGAACATTAAGTTGTGCTTGCATTTAGGAAAACCGGCGACGGAAACATTTACAATGTTGCTAGAGGTTAAGGAGAAAGACATGTGTTTCATACGTTAGTATTTAGGTGGCACAAAAAGCTTTCTGAGGGACACACATCCCTGAAACACGAACATAGGTCCGGCAGAAAAAAGTCCTTGAAAACGTCAAGCTTTGCGTTGATTCAGTCAGCGCTTGAAACGGATAGGCGTTAATGGTATTATAAAGTCAACAACAAGTGAGTGATATAAAGACATTACCATCAATCAGTGGGTTGCAGGCCACCACAAATGTGTTCTGCATTCGGAAGCATATTTTGAAAAGCCTTGAATATGATAAGACATCATAGCGACGTTTACTGCACGAACGATGTCGCTGACGTCGCGACATATTGTTGTGCGGGGCCATAGTGCAAACATGACTTTCTTATAAATTCTGTAACTTTAAAACAGTTTTATAGATTACTTTAATATTTTTATACTGCATTCAGATATAAATAAATTTTGTTATTATGTATAACCGTTGAATTATCAAATAAAAGATGTGAACACAGTCTCAATATATATTGGACAACCGTCGTATTTCCCTGTTATGTAAATGATTTTATTCTTACATTTGTTTCACGTTTTACATTGTGTAGCTCTAGGTCTAGATATATACATGACAAATTATTTGGCTAATGAATATTTATTTTTTTACATTTGCTGTCTTCTTTTCTACAGATCTAATCTCAATATGAAGTTATTTTAGGAATTTCCGCAAGTCACATTTTGGCTATTACACAGTTATTGGATTTTTCCTTCAATTTAGAATTTTCAATGTTAAACTGTCCCGATGCCGCTGGATCATGTCATCTGAATCTTATCTAAAGTTTTGTTTGAAAGTGACTCCAGTTTACGTAACATTGGAAGTCATCTTGAAAGTCATGTCATTTTGCATGTGCGCTCTTTCACTCACCTATTATTAAAAAATAATACCGAGTAGCATGGCGGCAGATTGTTTTACATAATGACCTAGACCTTAGCATGATGGCCTTAAAATACTTTTTGTTACTATATATATTAACAGTTTAAAGAGGAATGTTGTTGTTTTTACAACTACTTGGATGTTTCCGAAATATTTCGCATTATTTATTTACTGAACTGTTTAATGTTCTTGGCACTTTTAAAGATTTTGGATGTTAGATATTTATTCTTTATTTAATTACCTAACTGACAAATATCTAGGTAGTCTGATTATTTTATTTATTGTGTAAACACAAGAACCAACTAGTGAGTCAGATAGTTAACGCGATATTTATATGTTTAACTGTTGCCAGTAATATGCCACGATAGGCATGCTTAGATTACTATCTATCTGTAAATATATATGTGTTTGCAGGGATACTCTTGTATTTTGTTGATATTAAGCCGATACCGGCCGAAAAAGATCATTTTACCTCAAATCTTGGAAAATCTGGCTGGCAAACGTGAGCTTAATGCTCAATTCCACAGAAAAGTGTTAGCGGTATGCTTAATAAGACTGTTCTTGTGTCTGCTGATTAAATTTGTTTGGTTGGGAATACTTCGATATTTTTACGACTTTTAGCCGAAAATCAATTGCAATGTCATTTTATCACGAATCTTGGAATTTTCGTCTGGGTCTTGTGAGCCTTAGGCTTTATTCAGCCGGAAGAGTTATAGAGTTATTTGAAAAGATAACTAGCCTTTTACTTAAACCGTTAGATATTATACAATTATTGACTAGTGTGCCATTGAATAAGATGTGATATTTACCGGCATATGACATGTTGAGCGAGGCGACAGCCGAGGTCAATATGATTTTCTGCCGGTGAATATCACATCATATTCAATGGCTCACTAATAAATAATTGTTTTATTATATGTATAGACTATCAGAATTAAGAAAATAACAAAAGGTACAACCGTAATCAAGAGCGGAAAAAAAGATGCACGTGTCAGCGTGTAACAACTTCGCGAACGCTGCGCATCATTGCGGTGTACTTTTTAAGGTACATTAAACTTGTGAATGTGCTACTCCTCGACATTAAATGGCAGTTGCTGAATTGCAAAATAGAGAAGAGTATTGAGTAAAAAAAGTTTAAATTTAATAAATATATAGGAATATGTCATCATTGGAGTAACTTATTTATTCAAAAATCAAAATATGACAGTGTTGCACAAGTTTGAAACTGAAAATTACACACTATGCTATGTCAAAATTCGGTTTAATTATACAAATATTTTCATAAACATTTAGTCAATATATCAAATTAGTGCACCCGAATGATAAATTTCTGTTAAATAACCTCCTTTACGTTTTCAAAACTTTTCACGTGCTTCGGCATATATTTTTGACCCGCCATTTTATCAAATGTGTCTGTTTTTACGTCGTTTTTCCCCAAAGGATATTCTTTTTATGCTTCGCTTTTTTAAATAAATTAACTGATTAATATTCCCATGAACAAAAATATTCATAGACCATACATAAATACACAGAATTTCATTTCGATCGCTTTATACCTGACATAGTAATATCTTTCTTGTATTTATTTACTTTTTTCGGCTTTCTGTTGACCGCATAACGGAAGGAAGTAAAAAATATTCATACACTGAAGTAGACCTCACCTGAATGATCGGGTAATTTTGGCGCATATCAAGGAAAGTGACATTTCTTTTATCATTTTGTTTTCGTCTTTGTTGAAAAATATCAATATAACAAACGTATTTCAAATAAACGTATTATATCATGGAACTTTGAACAATCGCGTACGTTCTTTTAATTCCGTACAATTAGGCGGATATGGATTTCTTATGGTTACCCCAATGTCGTACGCGTAACGATAACTATAGTTTGTTAGAATGGGTACCAAGTAATCAAACATTGCGGGGATGTAGACACGTTGTGGCGGAAAATCTTCTTTTAAACTTCTTTTAACTTAGTACCGGTAAAATCAGATGTATTTAGTAAAATTTATATACTGGTACTTTCTTCTATTTCTTTATTCCATAAATTATCAAACCATGTTGTACGATGATTTACCATTTACAAAAAAGTATCTTTCGTTTCCTTTCAAAAAAATGTAAACAAAAACAACAGGTTATCGAATGTCCTGGGAAAACGATTTTATTAATTCTATTTAATTTCTTTGGAACATTTCTGCATTTGTATTAGTTTAATTTAGCTTTGAATGTAAATAAGCCAGAAATTTATATTGTTTTACAAAAATAATTTTCAAACTCATGAAGCGTGAAATGACATTAATGAAAGTGGATATACAAGTAACTTGCTATGGTGTACTGATGTGCTCAAAATTACTGGAATTTACTTTGATATATCAATTATGGAATTTATTTTAAATTTTGTGTCAGTGTATTCATTAATTTGGAAATATTTACTACTTGGATAACTTGTGGTGAACATATCGCTTGAAATTTAAGGAAATATTGTAGTGGCACCAGAAAGTTTTATCCATCAGGATGGGTAAAAAAGAAATAAGAAAGGGAAAAGACAAGTTTTTAATAAGGCCACTGGAATTCATAGTTTGAAATATAGAAGGCAAATTGTCATAAAAGTTGAAAAATTGAGAAGAAAATTTAGGAATCTTAAACATGTGGTCCCATTCTATATTAGGCAGAAAAAACAAGGTTTGAAATTTACACTTAATAAAATAATTTTTCAGAGAGCTAGAAAATTCAAATGTTTGCTCGATATAGAAAAAGAAAGACTGTATATAACATCATTGAAAGATAATTTAGAAGGTAGTAGAATCATT